ACAGTGAGCTTCCTGCTGGACATTAGATCGGGAACCTGGAACAACACTCTGCTCAAACATTTGTTCTGGAAGGATGAAGCAGACTTGATAGCGAGTATCCCCTTAAGTCAATCATCTGTTACCGATTTTTTGGTGATGGCACTACACCTCTCATGGCAAGTTCACAGTATCCAGCTGCTACAGGGTATTACAATCTCTCCCTGGCTTTCAAACCAACCCAATTTCAGGCAGCTCCAATTCTGAAACCGTCAGCTCTACTTGGAGAACATTATGGGATATTAATATTACCCCAAAAGTGAAACACCTTCTCTGGAGAATCTTAACAGATTCGCTGGCAACTCAGAAAAATTTGCAAAAAAGGAAAATTGATACAGATGGAATGTGTAAAAGCTGCCACGAATATGAAGACCTGAGCCATGTCCTCTTTCTCTGCAAGACGTCATCAGAAGTCTGGAATGCTAGTGATCTTGAATATCTAATAAACACACCGGGGAATATGGAAAATCAGAACTTACTTGGCGGAACTTCTTGATAATATACCGTCAAGGTCATTACCCCTTCTTGGAGATATCTGTTACAAACTATGGACAGCAGGAACACTCTTGTCTTCGAAAATAATGCTTTTCAGCCAAAATCAATACTTCAAAGGAGCCTTTCTCTGGTCGACGCATGGAAGACTGCCCAGCTGCATCTTTTCTTGATCCCTCCATCACATCCGAAGCCTGCAAACTCGCTGGAATTTATGTCTGGTAACTGCATCTTCTTCGATGGGGCGACAAACAATCAATTGCAACTTTCGGCTGCTGGAATTCTATTATGGAACTCCGCCTCTGGTTTTGTCGGTTGCTTTGCGAAAAGTTTTAATGGTCTTTTTTCCCCAAAGGTGATAGAAAGCATCGCAGCGCGTGAAGCAGTCAAAATTGCAGCCGCAAGCGGGATCTCAGAATTCACTCTAGTCGGAGATTCATCGTCTATAATCAACCGACTTCAATCAGACGAAACTGATCTTTTTGATTGGGGCTTAATAGCTGCTAATACTAAGGCGCGCTTCCAAGAACTAGTCGGTTTCGACTGTAAATGGATTAATCGAAGATTTAATGTTGTTCCTCATTATTTAGCACAATTAACAAAATCCAAACAGGATTTTGAAAAATACTAGAATTCAATTCCAGACTTTGTACCTCTTTCTGTGTTGGGCAATTTCCCAACAAATTAATTGAATTTCTTCCTTTCAAAAAAAAAAAGAAAAAAGTACATCCATGAGAAAATATCAACAGTTTCATTTGGTGCACCATCATTGGTAATGTAATAGATAAACGAAAAAATTATACTATTTTGTTAAAATTAATGATCTTCCATTCACTGATATTGGAATAAAATTACTCTCCATCTCATATAGATATTATATATATATTTTACCAAATAGACACTTTATTTCATTACTTGTCGGAAATCAATTTTACATGGACGAAATGGAATCATTAAAATGTTACATACATCTTTGATAATACATAAAAACATGTCTTTTTACTAAGGACAAACTAAGTCCACTCATCTGCGCTAGTATCTTCTAACCCTAGTTTTTCAATTAAAAAATTTTTCTCTTCCTCCATGCAATTAGAAGATCAGATGCTACTTATGTAAGCATGTTGGCTACCTTTTTCCTTGGTAGGTGACATTGGTGAAGCAATATGAAAATTTCAAATTGCAAAAAGTTCCACAATTGACATTTTGTTGGGATCATTGGAGTACTTAGGATCAAGATTACTTAACAACAATTGAAAAAGTTGAAAATTTTGGTTTTTAGTTGCAAATTCTTGGTGTTAAGAACGCAACACAGGTGGACATAAAGATGAACTTTTCCCGTTGATTATGATGACTCGGGCCTTACTTTTACAAATCCTGATTCTTGAGAATAAGGGCTTACATTCCTGATTATTGCTTTCTCAAGAGTAAGCTCATTTCTGCTTGTAGACTCGTGAAGAGGTGAAGAACACGGAGGAAACAGAGGTTCCGCCAATGAATACTCGCAATTGAGCAGAGGGATAAGGGCAATTAAACCGCAAAACTGAATTCGACCATTCCTATTTTACTCTTAGGAATCCTGATTATTACAGCACCAGGATAGGTTTGCATACCATTTCTAAGGAGTAAGGACCGAATCCTTTGAAACTCCCAAAACCATAAGCAATAAAATCTTCTTTTATATCCAGACTTTTCATTAAAGGCATTATCATGCAAGACCTGCTCAGGCTAAAATCTTCTATTTGAGATGTAGAAAACAACAAAAACAATCGGGACTTTGTGGTTTAAGTAAATCATCTCAGGTTGAAAGTTTGGAAAGGAGAAAAGAGCGATGATGGCCGATTATGATTAGAGTCATTAGCCTTTTTCTTGCTGGGGTGAAATGAATTTACAAATTTGATAAGAAGGATAAAGTAGTCTTTTACATAGCCAAAAAAACACTAGATGTATTTCATTAATTAGAATAATCAATAAAAAAATCCCAATCCATCTATATCTATCTATACAACTTAATAATAGAGAACCAGAGAGAAGAAATTGGGATAGTTTTCTACTTGTCACGTAGGATTAGCAATTTTCTCCATTTTTTGATTTATTAAAAAGTAAAAAAATCTTTATCTTTGGTTAATAAACTCAGTTGGTATTTGTTTAGTATTTTACTTAGATTGTAACTCATTCCAAATCTTACCCAATCACACGATGATAGTTTTTGTTACTTTATCCTCTCCAATCAAATCAATTACCTATTCATATCTAAATTTTCATAGCAAATCTGATTTAAAGTTAAAATCTTCACCAATTACAAATCGCATCAAATCTGGGAAGAAAAGGTTTCGTTTGGTTTCGAATGAATTGGATTGGATTAGACTGAATCTTTGTGTTTAAATCAGTGTCAAAAGTCTATGAAAACACTCCTAAAAAAGAATGCAATTAGAACATCCGCCTGGTGGCGAATGATGATGATAAGGTTGTTGATGGAGGAGGACAGGGACGGATGATAAGAACATAGACCGACGATGAGCAATAGCAGCAGTATCAAGAAGGAAGAAGAACAACAATGGCAGCAATGTAAAGTAGCCCTTATTTGAAATACAAGGTCAAATTTTTTCCTCCAAAAGGTATCCGTATTCCCTTATGGCCTAATTTTACTGTTTCTAGGAAAAGACTAATCCCATTTTTATTTTCTTATTGCTTTACCTTTATATAAATTTTATTTGCGCTGCCTTCTTTTTTCATAATTGTTTTGGTAAACACCTTAATCTTATGATGATGATTCGTCAAGGAGCTTCTCTTCCATTTGAATCTCCATAAAAAAGGTTAATTATGACTGTTTTCACAAGTTTATGTAGTAAGCTTTTCTCTCCCCCAATTGTAGTGTGCATGGGTTAATAACCTTTTTCAATGGTAGTACATTGATTAAGGTAGCTTTCCCTTCTGATTTGAGCTTCGCTCGGTTTTAGGTTCTAATGAAACACAATAATAGGTGGCATATTTCTTCTGAATAATTGAGGCATCAAAGAATCTCATTCAATGGAACTTAAGGTCGTCTCATTTTCATTTCCTCTGCTTCTTGCTAACTTTCCGTTATCCATTTCTAAATTTGGATTTTTTTTTTAAAGAAAATCCTGTTGGAATTGCTTGCTTCTAAATTTCTTAAAATTTTTCCCTTTTCTGAATTTTTTTATCTAGGTGTGTACAAGAAAGAATACATTGTGGTTGTTCCAAGTCTCTGAATCATCCGCTGCAAGCGAGACATGTTTTCAAATTCCGCTGCAAGTGAGCCATGTAGAAGATTGTTTCAAATTCGAAGATCAAAACGGCACAAGTCCATGATCTTTCCACAGTGCATGCAGGGTAGAAGCATGTAAAATGTCCTTCGAAGCATTGATTATGTGATTGTCTACACAGAATGATAGACAACAAAGCGTTAGAAACTCCGAATTTGAAAGAAACTTGATTTTTCAATTAGTGCGTAAGTTCTGATTATTAGTTAAATTAAATAATAGATAGAGTAGATGGATATAGAAGGCAAGTTGAAGAGATTCATGGGATGGACCTTGTGTAATCTTGGTTAGTTTCTTTCAATCTGCTACATTTAAGAAAAAAAAAAATCTAAAACTGAAATGAATAACAACAAATGGGAAATTGGTTTCATTATTTAAAAGAATATTAACATGGCTGATGTGAATATATAAGATCATGAATGAACAATATAAAGAACATGTGCCTTTGATGGACTTAACAGTAAAACAACAACCAAACTGAAAAGCAACAAAGCTTAGATGAACTTATAGCGTTGTTGCTGTCATGTAATTAAAATATGTGATGAATTGAACTCCATTACGCTTGAATTGATCTAACAACTAAAAGTATTAATTTTTTTTCTTTTTTTTTCTCTCTTTTCTGAACCGGAACAAAACAATTATTCGTTTGCATGGACAAAACATGTCCATGAAACTTATTGATTCAGCAAACATATATGGCTTCTCCAGCTATCTGAACAACATTGCAATGAAATCTACATCAGTTTTTTCAAATTTTTCAAATTTCAAAATTGTGTTATTATCCTCAACAACTAAAACATCATTTATATTAACACAATCATGTCGTCCTTTTATAGACATTTATTTATAAACATGATATATCCTACGTCCTAAAAAACTAAATATGAATTATACTTTTTGGGATAGAAAGAATATTTATTTATATAGTGGTTTATTTTTGTCCCGTGCAATGCATGGGTCACATCTAGTGTCCTTAATAATAATTTCTATTCTTCCGGTGATGTGACCAAAATTTTCCCAATAATCTTTATCTTAAGAAAAAAAAAACCCACCCATTCTACTCTAATTGATTCGATCTTTGTACCTAAAAAACAATGGAAGCAAATAAGTAACGGAAATAAGCATGCTACTTAAGAAAAAACCCACTCTACAAGTCAATAAAAGTAAATAACTTAGTACACAAAGCAATAATTATGAAAAAGCAATAATTCAGAAGTAAAGCAACCCTACCAAATAACATAATGTAGTACATTCCGAGAAATTTTATAGTTTGATAAAGGTTACAATTTTTTGAACCAAATTAAAATAAGAAGTCAAATCTTTAATTATTTATCGTAATTGGATAGCTAACAATATCCCAGCACATTTACAAAATAAAAGGTTTCATAAGTTGCAACGATATTCATTTTTCTTGCAAGGTGAAATCACGAGAAGAACTTGTAACTCTTGGCGTCCAATATGAGTCCTCTTAGTGCTCCTATAGGAGCCAATACCATCAAGGTGAATCCCAAAATTATGCATATCTGCATCAACAAAGGAGAAAACCCAAGTTAGACAACAACTAAGGGATATACTTCAATGAAGCGATTTTATTGTTGTAGAGGATGACAGTTAACATTGATATTTTTTTTACCATCATGAATAAAATCACCTTCACGAATATAGAGGGTTTCTCTATCCAAATGACAAAAATAAGTATCAAATGTTAATTTTGCTTTGGTAATAATATATCACCAAATTAAATAAGGGATAACTTACCCAATTTATAAACCAACTCAGGCTATACTTTGCAGGTTTCTTGATGGCGAGCCATATGATACATGGAAGCTGAATTTCAATGATTTAAACATTGGAGATTGTCAGATAATTAATCAGAGAATAAAAATGTTATGGTAAAAAATAAAAGAAGAAGATAAACTTAAGGCGTGAATAAAAAGTTAATGTTGTACGAAAAGGGAAGAAGATGTGTTTACATAATAGGTTGTTGGCGCAAAAGCAAACCCTCCGAAGAACCCTAGAAGTCCACCGAAGAAAGGAACAGCAATGGCTATGAACATTGTTAGGACTGCATCCAAACCCAAAACATCACACATTAGGTTTCATAAGAGAGACAAAATAATGGTCAGAAATCCATAGTATTTGTTATAGTAAAAAATCAGTTCAAATTAAGAAAGTGCAAGTAGCTAGATAGGAAGAATGGTTTTAGTAACTTACGAACATAAGAGGTTCGAATGACCAAACGAAGTAGAAAACTGGGAGTAAAATGCCAAGATTTGATTAAGTAGGATTCCACCATATCAAAGACTGGCATTGCAAAAACCTGAAATTGATCAAACAGATGTCAAGTTACGTGAACATATACTAGAAAGATGATAATCGAAGGGAGAAAAAATAATAAAGAAATCTACCTGATAACTGCCAATGACATGGACCACAACAAACATGTTGGCCATAGCAATAAGCCAAACAGGTTTTTCGAGCGAGATCAAGATGTTGTCCTGAACCGAATTCCCATATGCCCAATAACCAATAAACGCAACTGGAAAATAGCAAAAGGCCACGACTATATAGGCCAGCAAGACACCTTTCCACATAGGTTTCTTCGACGGCTTCTCAACCGTGGATGGAATTCCAGCCTGAATCTCCAAGACAACATTATGCCCCGCGAAAGCAAAGGCTACATCACCTAAAGCACTGAGAAACTGGAAAAACTTTCCAATGCCGGTTGATGCCCTAGGCGTGTATTGCACATCTGGCTGTACACCTTTATGAACAGAAGCCACCCACCCAATTGTCGAATAACTATCAGAACACAACATTAATAGATGTTAGTACTATCAGACATCGTTCCAAAAAATAAAAGAGTCATGATAGAAACAGTGAATTGAAATAGAATCACCATAATCACGAGATCACACCCTTAAAGTAGTATCAAGATACATCATTCACTATCTAATTTCACCGAAACAGATGTTTGATTACCTGACAGACATGATGGCAGCCGCAAGGGAGATCATAGCAATGGAGTTGAAATTAGGGAGATGGGACAGGAACAAGTGGACAGACCCAAAGATCATGATGAAATAAGGGGTCTTGATGATAGGGGCGTTGGGAGCGACGAGATCATGGAATTTCTTGAGGGATTTCCCGCCAGTGACCATGTATACAATGTTGACTCCTACTTCAACCATGAGCTGCTGTGGGACAACAATCCATAACCCTAGTTTCTCACCAAAAGCTTCCTGTCCCAATTCATGGTACCTGTCCAGCCTCTTGCCACTGCCGGGTTCCGGCTCGTGCATTTCCACCATCTGCCACAGAGTGTACAGAGTGATGATCCATGACAGAATCATAACAGTGATTCCAGGTCCCCTGCAAATTTAATGGATCAAAAGTGCCACATTTATACACAGTTAGTGCAACTTTGACAAAATTCTAGTAATTCAGAAATCTTATTAGTAGTCCAAAAAGACGTAATGAATAATCATCTTAATAATCCAAAGTTCAAGAAATTTAATTTTGCAATTTGGTATTCAAAAAATCAACAAAGTATATATGTTCATGTACTCCTACTAATAAGGAATCTTTTTGAAAATTGAACAAATTGAAAAGGAATTTTAAAAAGAGAGAGACATATTTGACGAGTAATGAATTTATGGGGAAAAGGGAGCAAAAACTTTGCAAAAAAAAAAAAAAACACACACACACACACAAGCCTCAAAGTAAACAGCATAACACAGGCATCTATTTTTCCCATTAATTCTTTTTTTTTTTTTGGCTACAAAATACTCCCTCCATTTTTTTATATGTCTTTTTAAAGAATTCATCAACACCAAGAAGATATTAATTCATTTAGTTAAAATACAAAAACACCCCTATTAGTTGTCTACACAATTCATCGCAAACTAATAGAAATTCATTATAAATATTATTTCATTTCCAATACAAGGGCAATTTTGGTAAAAAATAGTCAAATATACCCCGATTTGTGAAAACGACATATATTTAAAAAAAATCACCAAACCCTAAAACGACATATATTTCAAAATGGAGGGTGTATTACTTGTCAGAACAACAAAAGAATAAAAAGAATTAAACAACCACCTTAAGCACCGTACAAATTACACGAACAGAACGTATAATCAGTAAGCTTACAAAATTTATCATTACTTCAAATCTCGACGAAGACGAGTAAAAATCGCCTCTCAAGTCACGAATTTCTTCAAAAATTTATCATTACTTCAAGTCTCGATGAAGACGAGTAAAAAATCGCCTCAATGCAACGAATTTCTTCAAAACCCCACACTGGGGTTTGCATTATCACACTATAATAACAGAAATTCAACAATTGACATATATTTGGTGAGTGAAAAAAAAAATAAACGAGAACAAGCAAGCAATAAGATATCAAATCAATATCAAAATTAATTCTATTATGAAGAAACTCTAGGCTAATGAACAATTTTCGAACCAATATATTATTTATATTCCAAAAACAAACAACAAGGCTTCTTTTTCTTTCTCAAACTATTTCCCCGAAACCCAAATAAAACAGATCCATGCACACAAGGCACCACAAAATATCTTAAAATTAAAAAAGTGACTATGATCCCGTCGATCGTAACATAGATTTTTCAAACGTTTTAAAAGAAGATTTATCATTGAAAACAAACATACAAACACACATAACAAAAGGGTCCATCGGAGAAAATAATAATATTACCATCCAAGTTCAGACATGGCGTACGGAAGGCCGAGAACGCCGGCACCGACCATGGCGGTGACATTGTGGAAGGCTGAGTACCACCAGGTGGCGTTCCGGTTGGAGGTGATCGGAAGCCAGTCGTTGATTTCTTTCTCTTCAACTCCTCCTTTCTCCACCATCTTTCTTCCTTTTTGCTATATCGATCCGTCTTTTCGGAATTTTTTCACACAAATCACTCTTCTTTTTTTTTTTTTTTTTGAAGCTAAGAGCGAAAGAGAGGTTTTCTTATAACCAAAAACAAATTATCTGAATAACTGAAAAATTACTAACCGAGATGATCTCATTATATGTAGTATAGAATTTGTAGGCAGAAAATAAAGAAGCTTTAAAGAGAGTTTATTATATGCATTTCTCTACCTCAACATTTTCGTGTTCTACTACAAAAGAGTTTGTTTCCGGGTATGACTCAATCTGTTCAAATTCGTGTTTGTTCCAAATTAGTATACTCTCAAACAAAAAAAATTAATTACTTAATTTTAGTAAGTAAATATTTACATTTACCGTAACAAAATCCTCTTAGGATAAGATATTCCCAGAGTTTAGGAATTAGGGAAAATCTTATCCAGATTTCAAGGGGAATATAAGGAAAAAAATTATTACTCTCTATTATGAAGAATATATACTGCATTAATTTTCTGGGTTGACTAATATTTATATTACACCAGCTGGTGGTGCATGCATTATGCATCCTTTTCCAAAATTGTGGAAATTATTTTCCCACCCAATATTTCTTTCTTTTTTTTTGCTTGATTCTTTCTTTGTTTAGTTTATTATTTACGTTTCAGTGTACAGATAATGTCTCTATTCACTTAATTATCAGTTTGAAAATTGTCTATGTTCACTTCTTTTTTCATTTTTGAAGAATCTGTATTCACATCATATTTCACTTATCTTTACAAAATGTCTCTATTCTCTTAATATTTCGTTCTTTGTTGTAAATTTAATAAGGGTTATAATATCTCCACAAGATTTTTTCTATATTTGGTTGTTACAATTTTGTTACTTACTATTATATAGTACTAATTTTTTAATGTATTACGGACCTGGTATTCACTATTATTCTCACTAATCCGATTCGAACCAAATAGGAATGCAGTAGATTTTATAGGATTTTGGATAGTAGAACAAAACAAACAAAAAATTAGATAGCGAGGTCTCAACTAATTATTACGTTGTAGCCCCTCTCGAGTCGTTTGGATCCTAAGTCACTTGTTTCGAACGATGTTAATTTGCTACGTAGTACGGTAAACGAGACACATTCTCCCAGAAGCTAGACGAGAATGTAACACAGTAGTACATTCTTACTCTTACAACGGAGGGATTTGATACACAAGTTTTGATTGATAATGTCTAATAAGAATGAGCAAGATACAATAAACTTTAGTTAAATCTTGTGATCTACAAAGATACCGAGAGTTTCTAAGATACTACAGTACATTACTACAAAGCAAAAGACCGCCAGAATGTATTTGTTGCCGTGCTTTGTACCTTTCAAACAGAACTTCTTCACTATTGCAAGATGAAACATAATCCGCCAAGTCAAAGCTTGACCTTTGGCGATTTCCGTAGCCTCCTCCATTTGCACTTGCACTTTTCAGGCAACCATTCATAAGTCCAGTGTTCGAACTGCCATGACTGCTGATGGAATACTTGCTAAGGTCGCCTCTCAGTGGTGTTTCCTGTGTAGTTCAGAAGTTAATGAAACATAAGTAACATGATGATACAGCTTTTAACGCACGATCACGTCGACAAGCAACCACCTTACAGTTTTAATTGTAGCATACTAGCCGAAAAGCCAGAAATGAACTAAAAGAGAAGTAAAAGGTGTTTTTAGCACCGAAAATAAAAAAGTTATTACTCATTAGCTGCCACCAGAGCCTAATGGATCAGACGAGAATTCAACTTCCTAGGCAGTATTTGTAGCCTTAATTCTAAAAGTTGCGAGGAACATTTATGGAAAACAAACAACATAGAACTTAAAACGTTTAACAATTGCAATGCCGTTCAGCAATTTCAACAATTGCATGTTCAAAATACATCAGACAATGTAATAAGAACTTGTAAAACACAATAATGATTTATATTTTTTTAATGAAACCCCGCCTTTCCTCCAGCTAAGAACTTTTGTCAACCAATGAATTTTTATATCAACAAACTGGGTAGTACTACCCTCATAAGAACTAGGCAGCAGCTGTATACAAAAAGAATACTCATAATTAAACACATTAAGATGCATGTAATACCATACCCGGATTTACATCAATGATATTAAAAAAATAAACAACAACAAAAGAAATCACCTTATCTGCTCCCCAGTTTAATGTTTTTGGAGTCATTGGAGTCTGTGATTTATTCTTTTCTTTCAGAGAACCATCATTGCTAGTCTCCCATTGCAACCAAGGCAAATTAACACCATCCATTTCAGCAGTATGGAGATTCGATTCTGCCGGGCTCTGCAGATTTTCAGTAATTAAATGGGTGGAAACTTTTGACTTAATTGTTCCTCCCAAAGTTGAACTCCCATCACTTCTTTCTCCATCAAATGAAGATATATCAGTATCTTCCACATTTGAGATGAAGTCCTCAAAATACCTTTCTGCCTCTTCAGTCAAGCGGTTTGACATTCTACTCCTGTCGGTACTCCTCTGGGAAAAAGTCAAGAGATAATATATATATCAAACTAATAATAGTGCAACGCATACGCATGATACCAAAGTAATTTATGAACATAAAAATGTATGACAAAATATCCAAAGCGAACTTGGGGTCAGGGAAAAAGTACAAAGAGAGCTTACTTTTCTGGTTCGGGAAGTTTTCTGCACTCCAGATGAATTCCTTGAATCAGGAAGAAACTCTTTAACTATTTCTGAAAGCTCCCTACCATGCTGATCCTCTAACAACATTTCAGCAAGTAGCTCTTGTTTACGCTTCTGTGACTGGATGAAACAAAATTCAAGGAGCATCATATTATGTCAATGACTTGATGGAAAACAAGAAGAAATGCAGCTGGTAACTTGGACATTTACACCAATAAGGTATGTTGATGTACTATAAATAAGAATAATAAGCCGTTCTTCCAATCACATTGATAAATGTAAGGGCAGGAGTAGAGTTTATATAATCCAACACACATGAAAAGCAATAACTAGAGTGGGTGGAAGGGGAGGAATGTGGGTTATCCCTCACAGTTACACTCCAAGAAGACTTTTGCAAAATAGTTCCCTGTAATCCAGCAGGCTTTTCCCGCAAAACTAGTAAACAAAGCTAACATAATGACTAACAGAACATGGATATAATTTCTTGGAATAGGAAAAAAGAAATCCAACAAAGATAAACTTTAGATTATTCATGTCCCATTCACATCCACAAAATAGAGCTTAGAAGATAGTAACATCCCTAAGATGTGTAAGTCTGGATAGTTAATAAATTTTCTTGCATCATAATCTGTCTTCAGAAAAAGCAAAGGAACATGTATTTGAAAGAACAATCATTCACAGACGTACGAAATATACAGAAGTGTACCTGCTCAAGCTTTGCTGTGTAACTTTTTCTTACGGCAGACAAGTTCCTAGGACCATCAGATCTACCCAAACCCAAGGAAACATCATCATCTGTGGTTCCATCAGTTATTACCTTGGCCTGACAAAGTAGTAAAAAAACAATTAATGATGTAATAGCTATCAAACCTTCGCACAGTCATTATAAACAGGCCTAATTAGTTTGTAGAGACCGAAGACTTTCTTATGGGTTGCTGGAACAAATGACTTACTTGTTCAAGTTTAGTTCGAACCTCTTCAACGGCATACCTAAGTTCTTTACGCATCTCTTCATAGAATTCACTACGTCTAACACCCTCACTAGGATTTCCAACCTACACAGTGACAAAATGTTACAACCGCCAACCAACACATGGCGCACTACAGACACAGAAAAATGAAAAACTAAACAAAAAACTAAAAATAAGAAAACCTACAAACCTTCTGCTGATAAACTGTTCTTATGGTTTTCTCATCTCTAATGTTTCCAGATCGACAATCTTTTGTGTCATCATCGGTTAAGGCTGAGGAATGGCTCTGAAAATTGAAGAAACATGGGTTAGAACTATCATAAGAGTTGGAATAACAGACATAAGATGCACCATCCTCACCTCCCCATGAGAAAAGAAAAAATGGCCTCTGAACTTATATTTGACAGTAAAACTAATTGAACATCAACAGATTGGAATTAGATAAGGATGTATTTGTTACAAAATCAGTAATGTGGTAAATAACAGCTATTTTTCACCCAATGTGGGATTGATCCTGTCAGTCATCTCTCGCCACTGAAATTTAAATTGAAAAGTACAGTAGTCGATTAAGTAGTCTTTTTCAAGTTTATTTCTTCCCCTTGCTAATTTAATTTGACATGTCAATTTCATATTTTCTACACAGCAGTAGCGCATTTAAAGCCTCTTCTATGCATAACCCAAAATCAAATACAGTTCTCCCACCTTCTCATCCAGCGGAGGCTATTCGCCCTTTATTTCTGATGAACTAAAGCGTATTTTGTATAGTCCACTGTCCTGATATATCGATCTCAATACTTTCACCAATTTTTTGGTTAATGTGACCAATTAATTTCCAGTACACAATACATAAAGCTGTACTGTATTGTTATTGTTTAGCACACAATGTCCAGAAGTACTTTCTGATCATAAAGTCCCAAAAAAGCAGAGAAGTATTTGAACAAGCAAGGAATCATCTTACAGAATACCCGTCATTTAAAAGAGCAAGATTCCTTTGGCTATGTGACTTTCGCAGTCTCCTATCAGCTGAAGATGATGCCTTCTGAACCTGGCCGTTCCAAGTGTCAATCTTCTTTACATCGTAATGACTATGAGAACTACGGAAGGGATCTGCATCACTCTACAAAACAAAAGGAATACAGGAATCAAAAAAATAGGTAAAACCACTGTTTTATAATGACAACAGATCAGGTTTTTTCAATAAAGGAGAGAAGAAATTAGTGAAACTTCAAACAATTTATTGCCCGGAAAATGGTCGGGAAAGTACAGGAACGTAATAATAGAAGAAATCAATGAAGAATTTTCCATGCCTGAAAACGATCTTTGATACAATGGAACATCGAATTTCAGAACTGAACAGATAATTTTGGTCTCACAGGATAACAAACTTCAGACTTACACAAGCTCGCCGACACTTTTATCAAAACAAAAAAAAGAAAGTATATGCAATTAAACAGTAACGCTTAATACCTAACCTCTTGAACAACTGCATGAGTAGAAAGAACTCCACCAAGCCACAGTTAAACACGCTTTTTACTAATGATGCAAGCACTACCATGTATTGTAATAATTCACAGGATTTCGTTGATGCTGTATAAAACTAAAACCAACTCATGTAGTCCAGGCATCCAAGAGCACGCACAGTCATAATTACAAGTAATACCCATAAGTAATGTTGAACGACCTTCTATTCAATTTACATTCTAGAAGCCTACAAGTTCCTGATTTCCTCTTTTAGGTACATTTATGAAGTATGGATAAGTACATTAAAAATGTAGCTACAACTCAAACCAATCGATAACTCAGCCATTCAATTATGCAATTTATTCAAAGTTTCAAAAACTAAACTCCTAAAGTCCTATTCTCCACGTGACTTATGTGCCACACCTGAGTTTTATTATAACCACAATTCTGGCGATCTGAGCCTTCATAAAGCTCTTAAATCTTATTATCCGTCTCAAAAGCTTATAGTATTTCGAATTTTGTGTGCCACTTATATATATATATATACCTACATGGCAATAAAAATCTAGTCAAAACATTATCCCCATGAAAGAATTCAATCCTGGAACGCCTAATATTTCCAGGTATTAGGCAACTAGAAGTTAAACATAGCACCTCTTGGGCTATGAAAAAACTTCTCAATCTTAGGCAAATGGCTCTCTTGTGTGTTAATGTGATATGGAAATGACATTCAATGGATTGGTGAAGGAAAGCCTTTTTCTAGAGCTGGTACGTACATGACTATAGCTCAACAACATGAAAGAGACCCTCACTATAGCTCAACAACATGAAAGAGACCCTCACTATCCTCTCTGTTGGGGTAAATATATAGTCCCAAAATATGGATTCATTGCATGGCTGGTTTGTTTGGGAAAGTTAAGGACAAGAGCACAAATTGCGAAGTATGATCAAAACATAGATAGAAGATGTGCACTGCGTTTGATGGCAGATGAAACGATTGAGCACTTGTTTTTCGACTGTCTTTTCTCAATGCAGATTATCACTAAGGCAATGGCTCTAATTGGAATCTTTCCCCCAGCATTCCAATGGTCCAGCATCAAACAGTTTTTCATAAGGAATTATGGCTCGAGTTCTGCTCGGGATGGCATTACCAGAGGAATACTTGCAGCTTCTGTTTATCACATTTGGGAAGCAAGGAACAGAACAGTGCAATCTTCAGAGCCCAACCTTATCAGAACATGAAATTATGAAAAACATCATCTTTTCTTTGAAAATGAAGCTCTCCACAATCAAGAAAATGAAAGACACCATGAGGAATAGAAAGATTTCACCATTGTTTGTTTGATGGCTCATCTTGTATTTCTTGCCTATTTGTATTTCACATTAGGACAAGATTCTTACATAGATGTATTCCTTTGTTGGAAGTTTGATATGTGAATGAGTGATGTACTAAACCCTTTTGATCTTGGAATGAAAACACAACTTTCATCCAAAAACAAAAAATAATAATAATATTTCCAGGTATTCACATGGAACAAACAACCAGAAAGACTTATGAAAGTGCTAAAACTAACATAATAGGAGAATCCAAACAAGTGAACTCATGAAAATACACAAATTTAAGCTTTCACCTCAGAGTCACTTCTGCGGTATTGCGCCACCGACAGCGATCTCCTCCGCCTCGAATTCGCCTCTGAATTTACAGCTTTCACCGAGGAACCATGAGAAATCACCTTCTTATCCTGGACAGCCGGTTCGCGATGTCTAGACACCGACCTTCCGCGCCTGGCCGACGACGCCGTATCGCTCGCCCAACGCGCAACATCGGAGTCACGCCTACCGTCGCGGCTCCGGCCTCTCTCGCGGCTCTTTATTTCACCATCATTATTACTTCTCCCATTCCTACAACTCTTATCATCACTACTGTTATTCTCCCTTGAAGAGAAGAATTCGAGCGCCAGATCATCGAGGCTAATTTCGGGAAATTCCGAGCCACGAGCGGTATTTACAAACTTGCCCTTAGGCGCGGCTCTATAGTCAAGCGGAGTCTCCTCTAGCTCCGACGGAAGTCGACGGGAGAACCGGCTAAGACTTCTCGACCGGCGATGCGTAGCTTTACTACTCGACGAGCTGCTGAAGGACTCATCGCCTCCGGCGCCGGCTGCGCCGCCGCCGGCCACCGATAATCTCCTCGTTGTTGACTTAAATGCGGACGTGGCCATCAAAAATTCAGCATCACAAGAACATTTTACAGAGTACAGCGATGGTGTTGATGATTGAGGAGCAAAATGAAAGAAAATTGAATGTTGGGATTTTGGCGGACGGATCGATATACAGAGAAATTTCTTTTCAATTCAAAATTTAGAAAAGAGGAAGGGTTTAATAGAAAGCGTTTAAAATTTTATTTAAAAATTGTGCGTTTTCCAATAATGACAGCTTCCGGATATCCGGTTTCGTAATTTGCCCGTTCTTTTATTTATTTTAAAATTTTTCAGTTCTACCAAAAATAAATAAATAATTAGCAGTTCTATTCCTTTGCTCAGTTTTGTAGAGCTTTGAACTCCGCTGAAAACACCGGGAAAACATTTTTTCTGAAATTTTTAATTCATCAAAATTTGTTTTAAATTTTGAAATAATTACAATGATTATAAGTAATTTAATCCTCCCTACGCTCCAATAATCAAAGCTATTTTTAACATATTGTTCTCTCTTTTTTATTTTGGAATAAAAGTTGTTTTATTCCATTTCGAATATAAGAAGTTTTGGTACATATTCTTCCATGTCTCTACGGATCTAGCAAAAGAGTCACTTGTCAAAGATCAGACCGTATAAAATAACCTTAATATATACACAAAAATTTATGATTATAAGAAGCAAATTTCTTCTAAACAGAGACGGTCGAATTTAAATATCGAGAGAGAGTATTTCACAAATTATATCGCATATAGGATTTGATCTACTTGTGATCTTTATCTTTTTTTTTCGTTAAGAAAGGAGGTAAAAATTGTTTCAATGTTGTGTCTGTAACAATATCATTTTCCAATTTTTTTAGTCGCTAATAAATCAGTAGTAAAATTTTCTTTATTGTGTATGTGATCCAGTTGAAGATTCATGAGCAATTTGATGCCTTTGATCAATTTATTTTGAAACTCAGCTCTGACAATTAGTACAGTAATTCACAAGAGATAGCAATCCAACACCATCCCTTTTTTATATTTCAACTAAAACCTGTCTACAATCTTACTGGCATCCATTGCTAATCAAAATAATTAAAGACAAAATGACAAAAACAGTTTTTCTTCCCACCTGGTTTGGTTCATTTTCAATATGAAAGGTAACATATTAGTCCTTTATCCATAGTCAAGAAGAAAAAAACTGAAAATTAGGGTTAATGCGGAAGTCATTAATGAGTATAATTTTAGTGTGAAAAATACACTTTATTAATGAGTAATCGATAATTAATTATTCTATACAATGATTAGCTTATACACTAATTACAACCGACCTAATATGCTGTAAATGTACAACTATACCCTGCAGTATTTACATAACTACCATGCTACTTTGATTATATACAAAGTGCCCCTTCAATCCTGTAAATCTGTGTACATTATCTACATTTCTACAGCCCCCCTCAAGTTGGTGTTTGGTGAAGATCAATTAAACCCAACTTGGCAAGGAAACCATGGAACTTGGGAGCAGCTAATGACTTAGTGAAGCAGTCAGCAAGCTGATTCACAGTAGAAACATGATGCAGCTGAAGGAAGCCAACCTTGTAATAATCATGAACAATGTGGCAATCTATTTCGAGATGTTTGGTTCGTTCGTAAAACCCTGGATTCTCAGTGATTTGTTTCGCAGCTTGATTATCACAGTGAAGTGGAATAGGCACAGTGGTCTGAACATGAAGATCTTGAAGAAGGTAGGAAATCCACTTGAGTTCACGAGCTGTACTGCCAAGGCTACGATATTCTGCTTCAGCAGAAGAAGCAAACACAGTCTCTTGTTTCTTGGTTTTCCAAGAAACAAGACATCCGTCAAGGAATATATAGAACCCTGATAAAGACCGTCTAGTAACCTTGCAGGTGGCCAGTCTGAATCACTGTAGGCTACCAAGTTCAAGCTGGTGGATGAAGGATAATGAATGCCTTTGGATGGACAACCTTTCAAGTACCTCAAGACATGGATCAAGGTATCCCAGTGTACTTCATGTGGTGCATGTGTATGTTAAGTTAGTTGTTCAATAGCATAGGTCAAGTCTGGCCTAGTAAATCCAAGATAAAGCAGCTGACCAACAAGAGTATGATAAGTAGAAGAATCAGGAAGCAATGAACCACAATGATCATCGTCTGGAAAGGAATGACCTTTGGGAAGAGGTGTAGTATGTGGTTTACAACCTGTAAGACATGTTCTGTGGAGAATATCCATCACATATTTTCTCTGGTTGAGATAGAAACCATCCTTGCTGCGAGCTATTTCAATGCCCAAGAAGTATCTAGTTGGACCAAGGTCCTTTATAGTGAAGGCCTGATGTAGAAAATTCTTCACTGCCAGGATTGCATCTTCTGAGGAACTGGAGATCAGTACGTCATCTACATAGACTAGGAGAGCCAAGAAATGTCCTTGATGAACCATGGTAAACAAACATGGATCACTGTGAGACTGATGTAGGCCAAAACTCTTTAACTCGGCAGCAAATTCAAGATGCCACTGCCTAGATTCCTGTTTTAGGCCATAAAGAGATCTAATCAGCTTACAAACTTGGCCAGGCTGACCTTTGGTATATCCTTCTGGCAGTTTCATGTAAACATCTTCAGTCAAATACCCATGCAAGAATGCATTGTTAATATCTATCTGATGAAGATGCCAATCATGAGCAGAAGCTACTACAAGAAGAACTCTAACAGTTACCATTTTCACCACTGGTGAAAAACTATCCATATAGTATATGCCTTCTATTTGATTGTAGCCCTTTACCACCAAACGAGCCTTGTACCTTTCTATTGAGCCATCTGGTTTGTATTTGGTTTTGTAGACCCATTTACAACCAATGGCTTTCTTCCCAGTAGACAGACTAGTCAATTTCTAATTGTTATTGCTCTCCAAAGTTTCAAGTTCAGTATGCATTGCCTCCACCCATTCTGGTTGAGATTGAGCCTGCACAGAGTTAATAGGATCTTGTGCATGGCTTGTGTTAGCAAGAAAAGCTAAATACTCAGACCTAAAACAAGGGTTATGTGTGTAACGATATGTATTTGGAGTATAGGAAGAGGAAGATGGTGGTTGAATGAGACAAGCATTTGTTGTGTGTGACTTCTTTGGAAGATCAACATAGTAATCCTGAAGCTTTGTAGGAAGGTGTTTTTCTCTATTACTCCTTCTAACAGTAATGTGTAGAGGAGATCCATGATCTGAGGAGGTGGGCTTAGGATTATCATGAATATCAGAATGATCATATGTAATAGGGATTTCTGAAAGTAGAGGTGATTAAGACTGAGATGATGAGATAAAAGGAATAGAAGGAAGAAGCTGAGAAGACATTGTATCATCATATATGTGAGGATCTATCAGATCAAGAATGAAAGAAGCATCTGGATTAGGAGAAACAGGTAATCTATCCATCCTTATAAGGAAAAACTTGTTCATGGAAAACTACATCTCTGGAAGTAAAAACTCTCTTGGTTTTTAGATCATATAGTTTGTAGGCCTTTTAGCCAGGAGGATATCCCAAGAAAATGGCTTTTATAGCTCTTTAATCTAACTTGTCTTTTCCAGGAAGATTATTTGTAGCAAAGCACAAACAACCAAAGGTTTTCAAATGGCTAAGATCAGGTGGTTTCTTTTATAGTAGCTCAAAAAGGTGTTTTTCAATGGAGCACAGAAGAAGGCAATTTGTTTATCAAATAAGTAGCAGTTAAAACTGCTTCTCCCCAAAAAAATGTTTTTGCAAAACTGACTGAAAAATCAAAGAATGGGCTACTGGTAGCAAATGCTGATGTTTCCTCTCAAGAATTCCATTCTGTGGAGGGGTATAAACACAAGATCTTTGGTGTATTATACCTAAGGAAGAGAAAAGAGATTGACATGAAGTACTCATAAACTATGTCCCATTATCTGATCTCACCCCCTTGATGGTGGTTTGAAACTGTGTTTTCACCATCTTAAAAAAGGTTTCAAGAAGATGGACTGTTTGAGATTTGTTTTGCATAAAAAATGTCCAAGTGGTTCTACTATGATTATCCACTATTGTAAGAAAATAGTGTGTGATCCTGATAAAGTAGGCTGTTTATAGGGTCCCCAAATATCTAGGTGAATAAGATCAAAGATTTTAGCTGTTCTAGAATGACTAACAGGAAATGATAAGCGATGTTGTTTAGATATAGGACAAGCAGTACACAAGTAATTATTATTGAATGAATTCTGCAAAGCGGGAATTTGAGTCATTACAGTATGAGATGGATGGCCCAATCAATTATGCCATAGTCTATGTTGATCCTGGATCACAGAATGTGCCTGCCACTATATTGTGGAACAGAAATTTGGATTTACAGAGAATTATATGAAGGACATGATATATTTCTGGCTAAAAGATTCCTGATCTATTATATATAGTCCATTAGCAAGCTTGCCAACAGCTATCACCTTTTTACTCCCTTGGTCCTACAAAATGCAAAATTCAGTGGAGAAAAGAGTGTCAATCCTTGCTGTTTTGGCTAACTTGCTAACAGATATAAGATTGAATTTAAAATCAGGAATATGAAGGCACCCTGTAAGTTTCAAGGATTTAGAAAGTGTAATATCTCCTGTGTGTTTGACATATTTAACACTTCCATTAGGCAAATAAATAGGTGTAGGTTTAGACACAACATTAAAGGAATAAAAAATGTCTAAGTTATGAGCCATAAAACCTGTAGCATCAGAATCCATAAACCATGTACTAGGATCAACCTTATCAACAGTAGCAAGTATGTGATCATAATTCATACCTGCAAATTCAAAATAGTGAGCAAAGTTGACCATTTCTCCCCCATGGCTGTCATGATTTCTCTTGCCTACAGTTAATCTGTTCATCACTTGTTGAAGATAGTTGAGACCATTCATGATTGCCTGCAAGTTTTCAGGTCCAGTAGTCACCATGCTGCCAACAGGTGCTTGTGATCCATTTGCATTACTGCCATTGAAAGGAACAACATCCATTGGAGTTTCAGCCATGTGTGCCATATTCCTGTTTCCTACTGGCTTCTTGAATCCTTTGTTGTTGTCAGGAACTCTCCACCAATCTGGATATCCATGTATATGGAAACAAGTATCCTTAGAATGATCTGACTTCTTGCACAGATCACACCATAATCCTCGTTTGTCATCTCTTTTCTTGGAATTGTTCTTCTAAGTAAACACGGCAAGATTCTAAGTATTCTGACCATTCAACAAGGTAGACTGAACCATCAGAGGTGGTTTGATCATTGCTGTTGAGACTGAACCATTTGC